TACTAATTCAAGAATTAAATCTAATAATAAATATATATTATTTTATAAGATAGATACATTATTTAAGTTTGAAAATTAATATATAAAAAATTAATTTTTTAAATATACTAAAGAAAAAAATTAATTTTAAAATATATAAAAATTTATTCATAAATACTATATTCATTCAAACCAAAATAAAAAATTACTTCATTAGTGTTTTTTTTTTTTTAATTTTGCCATGACAGGGTAATAATTTGATTCATGCATAATAAAGTATAGTATAAAAAGATTGCCGGTTTTTGCAGGAAGAAATTCAACCTTTTTTTTTTTTTTTGAACTAAATTCAGCCACTCGATATGTATTATTAAGAAAGTAAAGTTTGCTATGTGTCATGATCATGTCTGCCAGGACCACTGCCACTTGCCTTTTGTAGTTGGGTCAACCAAAGTCCAACAAAATATCCTAATAACTAATAATATGATTAATCAAAATTAAATATCATTTTTTCCCTGTGGGACTTAGGAGTTAGGAGGTAGCATATTTACTAGTATATCTTCAGTCAACTTGGAGGAATTGGCAGGAAGCTTTCAATAAAATTAAAAAACAAGGGAAGATCCAAAAAACTGAAGTCGTATTCAAATCTTCCTCTTCCGAGGGCATGGGTCAAAGACATCTTTCTTTACCCTTACTTTGGCAGAGAAGGGGGCGTCACGGAGAATATGAGTATCCATTATTTAAAAATGAAACGAGTAGACTTTTGTTGAACTGGAAAGATGGTTACAATATTCTGTGTTTCACCCTTTGACCGTCCATGCTAATTCAGAAGATAGGCCAATTACCAAAGTTGGCTAAGTTTTATAAATAAATTTTTCAGAAGAAAAGGTTCAATGGACTCGGGTCATGATTTGCACGACAGGGAGAAAATTACGAAAAGAAAACGATCTATACGGGCGAATAAAGGATTACCGCAAATGGTACTCGAGTTCTCTATATTATAAATTCCATAAGCACAAGTCAGAAAGAACATTACAATAAATGAGAATGTTGCTCTTTTCAACTTTGCTGGGGTAATATTAATTAACCTAAATTACGATGCTGAAATATTGGTTAATATCATTAAGGATAATAATTAATATATTTTTTAATTTAATATATTTTACAACACATTTGTTAAGAAATTATTATTTTTAAATTTAAATTTAAAATAAAAAAAATTTTTACTTATAAAATTTAATAATTAAACTGATAAATATTAATAAATATATTAAATAAAAAAATATACTAATCATTATCTTATCATTAAATAGCATATAGAGACAATGAGAAATGCTTCTTATTGATTTTTTGTTTTTTGACAAGAGTAATGGTTAAGAAATTAGTATGAGTTAGTTGTTAGCAACTGGTTCTCAGACTGGGTGAACATTCCACCCCCTCAAATGAGGCGTGTGGCCATCAGACCGCTTTTTGGTGAAGTTCACGACGGTGATGGAGTTCGAAATTCCGATAACCTTATCCGAACATTTAAGGTTTGGGGTCCAACCGTTGGACCTAAAGGCCCGGTTCGCTTCTTATTGATCTAACTTCGCCCTATCCTAACAGTTTTGACTTTTGAGGAAGGATACAAGCCTCACCTTATTCTATGTCTTTCTCTTCGTCTGATGACTGAGAGCATAATGGTCTAAGACTACCATGTGTAACACATGCTTGGACAGAATCCATTAGCATGTGTAACACATGGGGAAGATGCAGAATTTGAATAATTGGAATTAATAGAGTATATTCATAAGGTACGTTCTGTATATTTTAGATGTCATATGGATGCCGATTGGCCCACTTCTTGGGTAAATGTTATTATTCAGAAACCCAATGTAAAGAAGGATTTAATGGCTGACAAACGTAAAATTATTTACACTGAAACCGAATCAACTATAATTGAAAGCAGGTCATGCTCTTATTCTTTTGGCCAATCATTTTATAATTTGATCCTCTTTATCTCTCAATTTCAAGATTTTTGTACATTTTTGGGGTGAGTTTTTGTAATCTTCTTACTTGATTTTGATGCAGGGCTAGCACTTTGGTTCTTGTTTGATCATGCCGGGGCTTATATTACATTATCAAGTCTTCATGCTGCTGGCGAATCGAAGATCAAATCTGCTAAAGTTTCTAAATAAATACATTGCTGAATAAATTTCTGTTCCAGAATTGTATTAGATGCAGATATTTCTATGTAATGAATCACATAGTGTCATTCAAGGAATGAACATTACTCGTTGAATGGATTAAAACGCTGCATATTAACAGTGTTAGTGGTTTGGAAAAGATTGTGATCAAGTTTCCTTATATACTGTCTGGTTGCTAAGAAAATCCAGAAAAAGAAAACAGCAGGGAGCTGAGAAAAGATAGACTCCAAAAATAACTTCTTTTTTTCTTTTCCTTCTGGAAATTCTTGAGATGAACAAACATGTTTACATTAAGCCATTAAACTAAGCAGAACATTATACAGATTCTTCCAAATTTATCCAAGCACATATGAAACAGAAAATTGAAAAAACAGAGAATTAACATTTAGTGGTCTTGATCAGCAGTAAAATCAGGCTCCGCAGGCTTCTGAGGCAGCAGCGGCAGCCACTCTGGTATTCTGGGGGTCGGAGCCTCATCCCGTCGCAAGTTTCGCAACGCATTGGCTGCAAATCTTGACACGTAAATCGAGGCGCCAACGATCACGCCGGACTTATCAGCCAGAGCATTCAGCAGCCTAGCTTCCTCTTTCCGTAACGACTTAAGAAACTTCCTCCCGCAGTACCGCCGCCAGGCTGCCTGTATGAACCTGGCTGCCCATGTCCTCCACTGCACGGAGTAGAATCTGAAATTGTGCTGGAGCTGTTCGCTATTGAGCAGATGCCGGTGCTGGGAGGCAACGAACTTGAGATCGTCAGCTAACAGAGCAAAGGCCTCGACTTCGGAAAAAGCCTGTAGGGTTCTGGTGGAGATGGGTAGATGAGAGGAGGACTGAGGATCCAAGGCCCAATTAAGAAGTTCTTGTCCACAAAAGTCACCGGGTTTGAGATTAACAGCATTGGAGAAGCCAGTTATTCCGCCGTTGGTGATAGTGCTGGCCAAATCTCCTCGCATTATAAACAGCATCTCCTCCACCGGTTCCCCCTCCCTGACAATGTAGCTTTTTTCGGTGTAAAGTACCGCCTTGAGACGATCACACATTGAATCCAACGTCTGCTCACCCATTGTCTCAAAAATGGGTACCTGAAGAAAGAATTTTAGTGTTGACCTTATGTTGGGTTTGAACTTAACAGAAATGTGATGCTTTTAGGAAAATTCTTACTCTTTTGAGCAAATCCAAGCAAAGATGACGCTTTATGTCTTGCCTGAGACCTCTTGGAAGGCAACTAATTAGACTCTCTTCTTCAACCCCTCTGGTTTCTTGCCATTTACGCTGTTGATACCGC